CAAGTAACAGGGTGAACAATTTTTGCCAAGTACAATTGAAATGTTTAAGCATAGAAATCATGCCCGTTAATTTCCTCCCTTTCACCATTTTCAATCCATTCAAAAGCCAAGAACTTCCAGTTCAACTCCTTCCTCCAAAAGAGGCCATACCCTGCTCCCATACCACTGTCACTGCTTTTCTCGGCCTCACTTCCACTGCCCCCGCTATCTTTCCGCTCCTTCCTCCTTTGTTGTCTCCTTCGTTCCTCGGCTGGTCGAAAGTGTTGAGAGCCACCGACATACAAGCCGCCCCAACCTGGGCAACCTGCTTTCTTTCTGCCATCAATAACAACCATTCCGATTCGGCTGTGAATTAGTGCCATGGAACACATGACACAGGGTTCATGGGTGAGATAAACTATGTGATTATGGCATAGATATTCTCCCGTTTCTTTAAATCCTTGCACAAACACGTTAGTGCTTCTGTAGATGTGATTGCAAATCGGACTGCTAGTATCACCTCGCCCTTTCTTCTCAGTATCAATAAGCGTAGCGGTATCCTCCCCGGTAATAGGTGTAGTAACCGAATTATCAGTGAAAATTGCCGTAGCCGTCAGTTGTTTCTTGTTGATGGAGTAAAAGTAAGCCTTCTCTATGTCTGTGCTGGGAATGTGCCTTAGTGTGTTCTCTCGGTCTTTCATTATGGCGATGCCCTCTTCAACGTCAACTTTTGTTCCGATTTCCAAATCTTCCCGCAGTTTCCTCTTGGCAGCTACCATACCCACGACCCTCATAACCGCATGTTCGAGCGGGTTCCCCCACGTGCAGCCCCTGGTCTTCGCATCGGCCCCAAATGTCATATGCCTACCATCCCCAGCGATTGCAACTACTTCTTCATTGCTAGGATCCACAACAAGAGCACCAACTTCTATCCCATTACCGGAATTCAAGGCCTGCTTAGCTACCTCTCTGACCAGTTTCATATACTCAGGTACCTTAGGAAGTGTTTTGTTGATCGTCTGCTCGACATAAGGAGGATGTGGTCCAAACGGATTTCCACGCTTATATATGGCAGGCCAATACAGTGTTGACCATTCATCCGCTTGCTCTTGTGAGATTGATGCATGAAGTGGCACCTCAATAGTAGAGACTTCCGGGAACGATGGAAATAATAGTGGTCTTAGAATACCGTATATAGTTGTCAGCTCTATCGCCGTTTTCGGTGCGATCAAAAGATACAATATATTCTGTTTGACCGGTTTCTTTGGAGGGGAGTAACCCTTTGGTGAGCTGTTGCCTGTTGATGCATTCTGAGCACTCCCGGTGGAGTCTGTGCTTGCTTCTGCTGACCCAGAGCCAGAGCCAGAGCTAGAGCCAGAGCCAGAGCCAGAAGAGCCAGATCGCGCACGCCTCTTCGCACTAGAACGGCGTCGCCGTTTACGGGCAGATCGAGCGGCAGGGGTAGGTGGAGTATTTTCTCCCAAGGTGTCAACTGGGGATTTTACATCAATTGGGAAATTCTCATTGGTTGGTGAATTTGCTTTAATTGATCCAGCAGAATTGGTGGAAGATGGTTCCTGGACTGTTGGGTCTGTCTCGATAGCCGGAACTGCCTCAATTGTTAGGGATGTATTAACTATTGAGTCGGCTTCAACAGTAACATTTCCGGTGGCGCCTTTGGGTCCTGCTGGGCATTCGAATCTATCACCAGAAGCAGTGCATTCGATAGGACTGGCCGGAGGACTGCTAGAAGGACTGCTAGAAGGACTTAGAACCGCATGATTCAAAACATCGCCACCCGCTTCAAGGGCCTGTAACCTTTTCAGAGCAGCTTTTTCTCGCTCTCTTTTTGCAGCTCTCTTCTCAGCACTAGAACGCCTGCGCGGTTTCTTCTTTGCGACAGGCTCCTTCTGCGCTTCCCCTGGGAGAGGCTCAACTAAATTTGCGTTTGCATCAGAAGGCTTTCGAGTTACTAGAACCGGGGCACTAGGCTGACTGATAGTGCTGGTGTTGCTTCCGGTTGATGAGGTACGAGACTTTGGGCCAGAAATGACACAAGGATCCTGTGTCAGATCACCATCTGCATCCACTATTGCGCACTCTGTATCTAATTTAACGGCCAAAGCGTTTTCAGCAGCCGTTATCTTCATCCTGGCCAATACCTGCTTAGCCAGGAACTCCTCCCTAACCAGCCTTCGCAGGTGTTGAAGGTCGAGCCCGGACTTGTTTTGAGGTGGAAGCACTTCTCGAAGAGCACTATCAAAAGCCGTGATGAGAAAGAGGACTGACGAAGAGAAGCTAACTATACTTACTTGAGAATAGCATTTGCTTTTTTGGCTGGGACAGGTACTGTATATACTTCCACTGTACCTCCGTGTTAAGAAGAGAGACAGATAGAGAAATCTTCAGCATCGTAGTCTAGAGGGGAATATACCTGTCTCAACGGCAGCCTTATGCTCCATAAAAGTATGGAGTGGATAAACCTTGCCCGCCATGCTATCCGAATGAGGTTTGCTGTTTTCCATCACAATGGGTCTTTTGTGATGAGAAGAGAGGAACCTTCGAAGGTACAGGTGTAGGCAGTGTTGTGGTATGACAATCGACCAGCTGTGGTGCAGCAGTCCCAGCAAAAAAAGGATATCTCCGGATGTGCAGCCAGGGTCTGAAATAATGTGAGTTGGTTGAAATAGCAATGCTTGTTTATGAAGAGAAGAGGACAAGCGCAAGCCGAGCAAGGCAGGGCGAGCCAGGGGTGGTGGTACGAGGTGTGGTCGACGGGGTCGGTCGGGGCGTGTGTTGACGAATTAGGCATCACGTTTCTTGCGCTGCGTTGCAACGCTTCCAGACTGTTCAGGTGTGCCGCAGAGCTAAAGCAGCAATGTAAGTGTAATGGGAGGCTGATGCCAAGTGAAGTATGGAGCTGCTATGCTGTACAGATATGTATGCAAGTACATACAGTCTTGAAGATCTTTTAGGGTTGCAGAGCAGGATGGACGAGATTCCTCAGTAACGAAAGCAGTGTCGCGTAACTAATTTGTAATGCTGAAACCAACTGCAACAACGACACCAACGACACCAACGACACCACCTATTGCGACAGAAAGGGAGTGCAGGTTGGACTAGACGGGGATTGACATTGAAAATGAGAGAAGTAATCCGAGATATAGTGAAGCCTTTGCATATATGCAGCTGCTCAGGCTTTCTCATGACCCGCAGATGACGCACAAGACAGCATCTCGAGGACTGGCATGCGCCCGGTGCTGGAGCTTGTCTGTGTTGGGTTCTGTGTCACAGCGTTCACTGTGTACAGATCCTTCAGTCGCCATATTGGGTAACCTGCAAGTTGCAGATCCTTGGTTCATTAGGAGTGCAGAATAATTTAATTTCCTTGCAAGTTCTCACAGTTAGGATTGAAAACATCTCTTTCAAATTCGCAACGTTCTCCCACTCCATGTGCACTGCCTTTCTGGGTTCCCGTTTCGAATCTTGCGCTTCTGAATGGTGCAGATCGCTGCCTTGAAGGTTTTTTCCATTAAAGAAAAGAGAAGGGAAAGTTTTGGAGGTAGGGAGCTGTAGAAGAGGATCCCTCACCGCTGTATTTGTCCTGATCCAGTCACAGAACCAAGAGGAAGTTTTTACATATTTTAGGCTCCAAAACTAATGACTCTCGCATTAGGGTATCTGTAATGGAAAAGTAAAGAATTCCTCAAGAAGTGCAGATGTAATGGCGTACCTAATATTTGAATATAGGGTATAGGGGATGCCTCCTTGAATAATATCTACTGTACATCGATACTCTCTATTATCCTGGCATATAGATCCCCCGAAAGCAAAAGATCTACCCAGTGCAGGACAGAACGAAGAGGACTGATAAGGAGATAAGATATGATGCCCATGCACGGATTGTAATATACACGAAACGTCTTCCACTCGTGCCAACTTTCACCCCAACCCCTCTCACGAGAGTCTGGGCACGAGACTACCCCAACTTCACTTTTCCTGGTCCCAATGAGGAATTGAAAATTGAATACCCCAGGCTTGCCTATCTCACTTCTACACCCCACGCAACACCTGACTCACTTTTACTAGCTTCGGTTCGCACTTTAGAAAATCATTATTGCGCAGCAGGAGTTTGAGATAGTAAGGAGGGGAAAAAAAAAAACGTGACAACAAAGCGAACATGCGGCGCATTGGTGATGGGGCCTTTCATTGGTATCATTTGTGATGTGTGACACTGCTTTCTGTTTCCGGCGCGGCTCTGGAGTAAGAGATTCTTTTGTGGCAGAGGCTAATTGCTGAGTCGTACAAGAAACACATGGTGCGACTAAGGTACTACGGAGGTGGGAGGTGGGAGGTGGGGTAGGCAACAAGAGCGAATATGAAGTACGCAAAATCTGGCGAACAAGAACCTCAGTTTTTTACCAACCAGACTGTTGTTCGCCATATTTGGGGAACCCCTCTGGTTGAGAAGCGCGGAGAAGAATTGGCGCGAACAGCGACCGGGGTACTCAATGAAACTCATGAGACCACAAAATTCGATAGTTTCAATACTCGCATATAGCAAAATGCCATGGCGAGGTATTCTGTAGTGTTGCCGTACTTGAGCAATTTCAGACCCGGTGAGCAACAGAGTAATGCATTCCCCCCGCCCTGTTGTGCAAAGCTTCTTTTTCTGTAAACCAAAGCCACCAATGGATAGTATCAATTAGTAACCTGTACTAATCGATGTCAATGTGAAATTGGCCCATATTTCCCCGGATCAGGATTGCGGGTGAGAGCAAACTGCTGTGTGATGTTGCTCAAGCACTTCCTAGAATCTTACAGCCCATGTGGTTATGAAGGGAATCGCCCTGGGAATTTAATGTTGGTTTCATTGCGCCCCACATGCGGCATGACTAACTGCAGCTACATACAAAACTACTTGATACAAATAACATACGGAGTACCAAGCATTTTGGTTTTGCAATAAACAATTTTGGATTGGTTACTTGTGAACACAAAATAAAAGAAAAAAAAGCTAATGCGACTTTTGTGGATCGAACACAAGACCTTCAGATTGTTGACTGATCTTAACTTCAGTCTGACGCTCTCCCAACTGAGCTAAAGTCGCCTTGATAAAATTTAATAGAGTTGTTTCATATATCGATGAGCTATGAATATCGTGCCCTTAAATACAAGCACCCAACTCGCATTGTCAGCTATATTCATTCGATTTCGATCTTTCCATTTCCCGAATAGCCTTGTTGTACTGATGTTCGCTCTGAGGAGTGCAATTGAGCGATCACAAGGCTTTGTCCCAAGCCAGTGCGGTAGTGTAAGTCCTAGCACACCACGATCGTGGGAGTAGTATAGCCTCGTCATTGAGTTCGACGGAGAGACTGGCACGAGGCTAGGAGAATTGGCACTGTACTGTAGAATCGCAGCCGCTGTAGTTTATCTCATACCTGACTTGACTTGCTGCAATTGGGCTGTTTTTCACACTCTTGACCGCAGTCTGGTGTGAAATCGTTAGATACCTAACTAAGAAGTAGGCAGTTTCGATAGTACTGCGAAGACTACTGCGATCCCACATTCACTAGCTGACCTAAGCTGACCCCTTCGTAGGTTTATTTCAGGGAGGGGGGAGGTTCTTGGCACGAGCCTCGAGAGGTTGTTCCGGGATGAGGTCGTGAGCACGATGTAAGATATCGGTGATTGTTGGTGGGCGGCATTGAGGTCTTCAGCCAAGATATCAGCGGTTCGCAGGATGGAGTGGCCGGCATGCTCACCTGCTTGGTGGGATTCTTTGCAGCTAGCTGGCTGCCCGCGCCCAGTTTGGAATTCACCCACAATCCAGGGTAATCAAGAATAGCATCCTAAGATCTGATTCCGCTTTCTTCCAGAGTCGGCCGTCGTTGCATCTCAGAACTATGATGCCTGACTTCCAAGATTCTGTCTGCTACTGATAACCCCCCCCTATGCAGTTCTTGTTTAGTGAGATGGAACCAGGCAACAACTACTGTCTCAAGGTAGCATATAATGTGGGGAAGGGTTCAGGTGGCTTACTTACATATACATTCTACTTATCGACTCCCCTCCCACATTCCCTCATACGCCACCCCTTGGCTCCAGTGCGTCCGCTAGGCTAGTGGGGACTTCAGAGTAAAAAAGGGTATTGGAATACCGACACAGGACTATTATTAAGCCTAGCCAGGTGGAGGGCAACGCAACCCCATGTCATGAGACGGAGCGGAATGGCGGAATGGAAGTATTGTCGAAGGGTAGTCTAGTTGCACTACCACTCGCAGAGGGACGGGGGGAATAAACTAGAAGTACTTAGTGTGCTAGGGGTGGTGGGCTTGAAGGTGTGTGGCAGGCAACTAGGCAACATGGGCGGGGCGGAAAGAATGAGGCTAGCACTCCCACTGCTCTCTCCCATCGCTCTCCACCGTAAAGGAACTTGTGCCGACAGGCGGGCGTGTAGCGGGCGTTGGAACTCCACATGCGGGTGCCAAAAGGGGCCATCGAATTCCATTGCGCATTGCACGCGCACCAAATGCAAGGCTCGAGGTAGGTACTCTACATGTACATGATGCCTTTTTTGGGCGTCCACTTCGACTACTTAGTCCTCCTGCTGCTGCTGCTGCTGCTGCTCTGCGTCGCTGTGAGTGTGCTTTGCTTTGTTTGCCATTCCCTTTTTTATGCTGAGATTCCAAGTCCCTTGTTGCTTCCGCACCCATACACCCACACCACAAACCAACCAACCAACCATTCACCTAGTCTGGTTGCCCCATTCTCCTGCTGGGAAGCTTCTCCCCAACAACCACCCCCTCCCCCTCCACTTTCTCAACCACCCCCTTCTCCGCAGGACCACCCCCCCCTCACTCCCCCCTCACCCCCCCTCCACCAAATTCTCTCAGGTTCTCCTAGCATCCCCTGTGTCGTTCTTTCCCCCCACTCATAAAACTAGAGTTGCAGTTAGTATGACCTTAAGGCCATTCTCCACACCACCACTTAACCCCCCCCTCCAGGATCGCCGCTGTGCTGAGAACCGTTAACGCGTTTGGACTGATTCACCCACATGCCATCCACCCCCCCCTCTTCTATCACTACTCTCCTCCCTCGTTCGCCCCATTCCCTTCAAATTCCCTCCCCGCACCCCAGGCAAGCCGCATCCCAACTGATCTTAACCCATCCAATCCCCCTCCTTCACAGGCCCGTTCTCTTGTCCTCTTCCCAGGCGAGTTCTTGCCTATTGCATCCTTGTATTTTGCGGGAAAGCTCGGTTGCTAACTTTCTTCTTTCTGCCTGTCCATCTATCACATCCATCCATCCATCCATCCCTCCATCCCTTCGTCGCACCGTCGCAGAGAAGCATTCACCCCCCGCGCCGTCCTCATGTTTTTGCCTACCCCTCTGTCTTGCGTTGTTGGATGGCTACTACCACAGTCGCCCCTACAGGTCCAGCCTCACCCACACTCCTCCTCCTTCCTCCTGGGCCGGTTCGGACCTGGCTGCGTTACATAGCTAGTCAATAAATAGAAAGTTATTCTCCCACCCCCTCCAGCTCTGTGCCCTTCTGCCTGCTCGAGCTGCCCGCTTTCCTCGCGTGAGTGCAACCGTCTAGCAACATCTATTCCATCTACCCATTCGCACTGCCAGGTTTGCTCGACTCAAGGCCAGGCCCCCCCTCCCCCCTTCCCCCTCCCCCCTCCGAGAAGCAGTGAACTTCCGAAGGGACTAGGGGGTTCATCCAACAGAAGTCTAGCCTAGTGTAGGAAAGGTAAAGGAAGCAGACGAGGAGAAGAGAAGGAAGGAAGGGGGTTGAGAACAACATATTTCGACCGAAGGGGCGGCTGTTATACCTCCACAGGATTTTCCTCCGTCCTTTCTGTGCTCCGAACGCACAGGGCGTAGCTCGGTCGGCCTAGTTCTGCTTCCCCATTAATTCTACTCCACTTCCACGCCTCCCCCCATCCCTCTTACAACACCCGCCTACTATCTCACCACATCGCGTCGCTGCCCTGGAGGTAATACCACTTGCTTCCAACTCTTATTTGTTCTGTTTCTACATGTTTATGCATGCGTCCTGCATTTAGAATCAGGTTCTGACTTGCATCACAGTGTTACTACCGCTCGAAGAAGTTAATGCCCTACTAAAAGTTTCTCAGCTTGCGAAACCCAACCCCCACTATTTAGTAGCAAACTGCAAACTGCAGTGACCTTCATTGTGAGTTATCTTGCCTTCTGGGTTAACCATTGATGGAATCACCAATAAAAGCAGTTGATATAATAAATGCTCACACGCAGCTTTCGCGCCGTGAAAAGTACAGCATTCACGAACCTCACGTTCGCCTCCCGCGTCTTCTCGACCCATACCACCGCTACAGCCTCGCACTCAAGAATCCCCACATCGATTTCTCGGAGCGTATTCAGGAGGCTCTCGACTCCATTCAAATTCACCCTACAACCGAATCTAATATCCTATCGAGCACTCCAACAAAGTTTGCCCTCTCGCTCTGCGGTGTCCACGCCAAAGTACCTTAGGAAGAAAATTCGAATCCTTAAAGTCACCGTGGCTTCACCATCCCCACCAGCATCAGGGGCAGTCCCCAAAAGAAAAAGACTCACTGGAGAGATGAAGTACTACGCTGTGCGTAAGGGTTACAACCCAGGAATATACACCACATGGAAGGAGTGCTTGGGGCAAGTTACGGGATTCAAGGGTGCAACCTGTAAGTGCTTTATCTGTGCGGAGAAAAAAGGGGAGAATCTTAAAGGAGGACAGATTAACAGGCTGACACCCGGCTCACATTGTAGTCAAGTCCTTTGCTTCGGAAGCCGATGCGAAATCCTTCATGGAAGGAAACGACCCAACACTAGATCCAGACTCTTCTGTTTACGTTGCCAAGTGGTACGGAGTTAGAAGTGGAAAGTGCCCTGGTGTTTATTCGACATGGAAAGCGGCCCAAGAGCAAGTTGTCGGAGTTCAGAAACCAAAAGTGAAAGCATTTGCAACAAGAGAAGAAGCAGAGGCATTCGTTGCTAGTGGACCGGGCATACCAAGCTCACCCTTACCGGACGATAGAAAGACTAGGGCTTCGAAAGACATGACAGCTGCGAGAAGGGATACAGTTGTGTCAACAGCCGCCACCACAGCATCCAGGAAGAGGAAGAGCACAGTCAATGAGTCTGTAGCAGATGCCGAGAGCATAAGCGGGGAAACGGTGTCCGATGGCATGGTTGAAGATGAATATAACGGCGCTGATTCAGCAGCGAGGCAACTTGAAGAGGAGCATGCTGCTGACGAGGGGACAGACGGGCACCGGGCCAAGAAACACAAGTCTTCCAAGCCAGCTGTTCCCAGGAAAACCACGGTACTGAAGATATACACAGATGGAAGTACCATGGGGAATGGCAGAGAGGATGCAATTGGTGGAGTTGGAGTATGGTTTGGCAACAATGATGTTAGGTAGGCCTCCTCCAATTTGTTGCTGACCTTCTCCCTCTATTACTGTGTCTTCACGCAAATCACTTTCCCTTTTAACGATATCAAACTCACCCCACCTCTTTACTAACTTACAGCAGAAATATTTCCGAACCACTAACTGGTACTCGCCAAACAAACCAACGAGCCGAATTGAGCGCTATAAAACGAGCTCTGGAGATAGCACCTAGGCATCGTGAAGTTCTGATTTTCTCCGACTCGCAGTACGCTATCAACTGCGTCACATTATGGCATCACAACTGGAGTAGAAATAACTGGTTAACGACATTGGGAAAGAAGGTTGAGAACCAAGATTTAATCGAAGAGATTCTGGAGAAAATGCAAGAGAGGGAAGACATTGGTGCGAAGACTGGCTTTGAGTGGGTAAAAGGGCATACTGGAGCGGCAGATGGTAATAGCCAAGCGGACAGACTGGCGGCTGAAGGTGCAAGGAAAGCCAAGGCGATGAACGGAGGGACAGTACTTAGGAGGTAATCTCCTCTATACTCTTCGCTACGGTTTTCCGCCCTTTGCTATGTATCTTCGTTCCCCTCTTTCACCACATGTTGGGGTTTATCTAAGCAGTTCACTCGACATATAAGTCTGGAAGGGTTAGAAATGGAGAAGCGCTTTGGACAAAAACC